ATATATATATAAAAGTAACTAAAATATATACATAAGGTCTGGCTTGGGGCTTAAAGAAACCAGAGTATAAAATGTAGTCCAATTGCTACACTAAGTAGCTAAAAACAACAAAAAAAAATAAACTCCATCTGCCAGCTGCAGACCTGCCTCAGGACACCAACCTATCCCTGCTCTGCTCTCATACACAGTATGATTATTGCAGTCCAAACTACATGGAAATAACAAAGGGTAAGCTAGTGAAAAGAATCAACATATATAGATATATAAGTACGGTAATTATAAACAATTTCAGCTTATCAGCACATCAATCTAACTCAGCAAGATCAGCACACAACACAGCAATATACAGCTCACATCATTCAGCCAAAAATAACATTAAAAAAATAATGCGTCATCACGTATATCAGCTCGGAGATCTCCTATAATAGCTCAGCCTTACGGACTACAACAGTTCAGCCTTATGGCCTACAACAGCTCAGCCTTATAGCATACAACAGCTCAACCTTTCGGCCTACAATAGCTCAGTCTTACGACCTACAACAGCTCAGCCTTTCGGCCTACAACAGCTCAGCCTTATGGCCTACAACAACTCGGCCTTTCAGCCTACGAAAGCTCAGCCTTACGGCCTACAACAGCTCAGCCTTTTGGCCTACAACAGTTATATCAGCATGCAGCACAACACAACATAGTAGTAATAACAACATACAACACAACTCAACATTATATAGCACAGCTCAGCGTTACATCATTAACAACATAAACAACATTCGGTACAGCTCAACTTAACAACAATAACAGCTCAAACAACATACATCACAACTCAGCTTTTCATCATACGGCATTAACAACATTAATCAGCATAAACAACATTATTAACAGCATGATCAACAACTTCACAACATACAATATGACAACCTTCACATAAAACAGCGTATCAGGAGTTATACTACTCCTACCATGCTCATCCTTATCTCATATGAAATATAAGAAAATTTTCTACAACTCTCATGAAGACACCAAGTCCTAACTCCATCATCTACCTTGTTAAAAATTCTAAAAATCGCAACACCTATAACCAATTCTGACAGCTTGACCTCTCTTCACTAAAACAGCCATATCTGGAGTTCTATAACTCCTTTTTGGGTGATTTCAGCGCCATTAAAAAGCTAAGATCCAAGGCTACAACTTTCATGAAGACCTTAAAACCAAATTCGGTCATCAAGACCCACTGCTGCAGCGCTCAATTCAGCGCTTTAGCTTCAACTCTCTGCCAGTTCAGTTTCCCTTCCACAGCCATGGCTGCAAATCCACGGCCATAGCTACAAGTTTCTGCCATTCTAATTAATTTTCCACAGCTATGGCTACAAAACCACAGTCAGGGCTGAAAGTCTCTACCCTCACGTTTTTCCCATCCATAGCTATGGTTGTGAATCCACGGCTATAGTTGTGGGTTTCTGAAACTCCTAAAACACCATAGATTTCACCTTCGTTTTCACCTAAATCCTCCATGAACCTACAATCCAAGGAACCGCAGTCCATGCTACAACTCAAATGCAATACTACCAACCACATGCAACCCAAAAACATCAAGAATCACAACATGCATGCATCCAAAACTCAAGAAAAAAATCATCAATGTTCAACCTTCCATCAAGAAACGAAAACCCCCAATGTTCAACATGAGAATCACTTTGGATTCATCCCCCCATTTACAATTTTTCCAGAATCATGCCTCTATTTACTCAACAACCTAACATGCAAAACAAAATCTCAAGATTTCTAGCTTTCCTTACCTCGATGAAAAGAAATTTCGGGTTCCGGGAAGGAGAAAAGGAAAAGAAGATGAAGAAGAAGCTTGAAATGGACAAAATCCGCGCCTCCGCAAGCTCCCAAACACCTACTTAGCACCACCACCTAAAGGTTCTGGAGAATCAAACCAAAGGCAAAGAGAGAACAAAGTAAATTGAAAGGAAGTGAAATGGTAGTGAGGAGAGGAAGTGAAGAATGTTGGGGAAGAAAAAGGAAAACGGAAGTGGGGTCTCACACTATTTATGCACATTACTTATTTTTACTTTTCCTCATCCAAACACTTCATCTCTACAATTAATGGAACAATACTCTCTTTGGGTGTTTTCAATAGATTCCACACAAAAAACTGACATCATTATATTTTATTATGAACTTATTTATTAATTTATAATATTTATTTAATTAAAAATTATTAAATTTTGAAAAAATTACTTATTTTTTATTGGAAAAAATCCAACTTCCACATCAACTAGAGATTAGGCAATTAAATAGTATATAAGTAGAAAGTAATCCTCATCTTGCAAATTGATTTTGTAGGATTGAGTTACGTTTAGATCTATTATTCTAAGATAGTATCAAAATTATCATAGATCCTTAAAAAAACGTCACATATCCTAGATCGTTAAAAAAAGCTCACCCACCATTTATCCACGTAGCAAGCTCAATAGCAGCAGTGTTTCAAAAAATCGAATCGGACCGGCCGGTCGAACCGGTTGAACCAGGAACCGGTGGTCCAGCTGATCCGAATCTTAAGTTGGATTGGTTATGCATTTGACCCGTTTCAAATCGGATTGAACCGATCAATTTTCTGGTTCGACCAGTGAACTAGTGGGTCAAACTAGTTCAACCACAAATTTTTTATTTATTTTTTAAGGGACCACAAACCACAAAAATAATAATGAGGGTTGAATCTGTTAATGAAAAAGCAAAGAGTCTTATTAAACATAAGAATAACTACTTATTCTAATGTATTTGTCTATAATATAT